ATTAAACTAGGCAATGGGGATAAGAAGGAAAAAAAATTACACAGTCCCTGTTGCCAAGAAATTTACATTCTCTTAGAGTAGGAGATATTAACATGAACACAAATAAAGTATATACAAGGTAGGAAAGAATAAGGCAAAGGAAAGATCCAGACAATCAATCAACAAGGAAGCATTTATTTAATGCCTACTAGTGCCAGCAATGTGCTAGATGCTACATTTACAAATATAAAAATGAAATGATCCCTCCCCACAAAAGACAAGTGTTTCAGGAAAATTTGGGCAGGAAGAGAATACTTTTAACCAGGACAGGATCAGGGGAGGCTTCATGGAGAAGCTGATACATAAACTGAGCCTTGACGGAAAAGAGAGATTTCCATAGGCAGAGATGAGAAGAGATTACATTTCAGATATGGGGAAAGACATAAATGGACAAAGAGTTGTCAAGTCCTGTCAACTGTACTTCCACAATATGTCTGACATTTATCTCTTCTCTCTACTCACTGCCATTGTCCTAATAAACCCCTTTTATCACTTCTAGGATGTAGCAAGAATCTCTTTAACAAGTTCTCCCACTCCATTCTCTCCTCTTGAAAACTCATCCTATACAGCTTCACACAGACAAAACAATCTTCCTAAGAAACAAAGCTGACCAAGTTCTTCCCCAGCTCAACAGCTCTCAGTGAATATTCCCTCAGCCTGACTTTCAAGGTCCTTCACAATCTGGATCCAATCTACCTTTCCCATCCTGACTTTCTATTCCCCTCTCTTCAAACACTCTAGTTCCAGCCAAACCAGAATATTAATTAGTTCTCTGATCCTGCCAGTTCTCTCTGGATTTTCAAGCATTTCTCATGCTTGAAACACTCCCTCCTCATCTCCAGTGAAATCCTTTCTCTCCTTCAGAATTTAGCTCAATTGCTAACTCCTATGAAGTCTTCCCTGATCCCCCAAGCTGAAAGGGAGCCTGGTCCTGGAATTTTCCTAAAGTACTTTGGATCTCTCCTTTGTTCCATTTCCTTTCTATCATGGGTGTATGTACAGGTTGCATCCATCACTATCCCCTCCAGGGAAACTGGAGGCAGGAACTGTGTCCTTGTACTTATATGTATCCACAATAGGTAGCACAGGACCTTTGTTAAATTGAATTTGAAGTTGGAGGCTGCTGTAAAAAATGATGAATATAAAATACCAAAATATATATAAGTATGGGAAGATATATGAACTGATGCAGAGTAAAACAAGCAGCACCAGAGAAACACAGGGAATTTGATGATCAAGCTTGACCCAAAAGAAGAAAGAAGGAAATCCACTGTCCTCCTTTATTTTCAAAAGTGGATCACTTTGTGAGCCATTCTGGAAAGCAATATGGAACATTGCGCCAAAAGTTCCTAAATCCTTAGACCCAGTGATACCACTTCTAGGCCTATAGCCCAAAGAAATTAAAGAAAATAAAAGATTATATTACAAAAACATTTATAATAGCCCTTTGTGATGATTAAAAACTGGAAATTAAGGGTGCCCATCAATGGGGAAAATATTTAAACAAATTATGATATATGAATACTATTTTGCCTTAAATGATGGAAGGTATGGTTTCAAGAGAAATCTGGGAAGACTTGTATGAAGTGATGCAGAGTTAAGTGAGCAAAACCAGGAGAACAACTGAAAAAATACTGTAAGAACAAACAACTTTGAAAGACTTAAAAACCCAATGACCAACTACGATTCCAAAAGACCAGTTATGCTACCCACCTTCTGATAGAGATAAACTAAATATGTACAATGAGACATGCAATTTTAGACACTGTCACGTGGGAATTAGTTTTGCTGGATAATGTACATTTGTTTTTACAAGGGTGTGGCTTTTTTTCCTTCTTGAATGAAGGGGAGTTATGTAGGTAAAAAAACGACTTGTTAATTGAAAATAAATAAAATCTAATTTAAAAAAAAGAAGTGGAGGACTGTAAGTGTAGAACATTGCATAGATGGTCAGACTGGGTTGATGTATTGATTGGTTTTGCTGAACTTTTTTTCTCTTTTTTCTTTGTTACAAGGAATGGCTCTCCAGGGAGGGGGAGAATAAAGAATATATTTTTAAATGAAGGTGATGTAGGTAAAAACAAAAGATGTTACTAGAAATAAAAGAAAGGTCAGCCTGTGAGCAACCAGAGTTCTGTACCTTCGAAATTCTTAGTAAAAAAAATCAAAGAATTCTTTGGTATAAATACTCTCACCACCAACATGGCTTCTTAGTTGCTGAGGATGAAAAAACTTATCACTTAGTAATCAGCCTCTCTAAATTTAATTAGGCTGGTCCTTAGACAACCGATACACAGTCTCTGCCCAGACCCATAACCCGAATCTTTTCCAGCTTAATAGGACCTGCCAGAACTTGCCCTCACTGGCCATAACCTCCCAGAAACCAGGGCCACTTCTTCTTCATGACTGGATGATTCTGGGTAAATTCATTCATTCAATAAATCACCTACAAATAAGAATAAAATAAAACAAAACAAAACAAAAACACAAAATGCAAAATAAGTGCTACAGAAATGCTCATCAACAATATAAGCAGGGGGAGCATTATCTTTACTACTCTGATTCCCTTAAGATAAATCCCATAGTGATACTGCAGAAGGGAGAATTGGGTTTGCTTTCTCCTCCTGTACTTTTTACCAGAGCTCAGCGAGCCTAGAAGGAGCCAGTTGTTCGCGGCTTTTACAGCCTCTAATTATTCATTTTCACACCTGCAAGGCGGAAACTGTCTTTTCTTTGCAGAAGGTTAAACTCAGCAAAAGCCGGATGGAGAAACCGGCAATCTCTGGGAGCGGGTGTGGAATGAGAAAGCCAACCCAGCCCACGGAAAGGGAGCCACTCTGAGGAGTCTTGGTGAGAGGTGGCAGGATTTTTTGTTAGTTTTTAAGGCAAACATGATCTTCGAAAGGTATTCAGTGAACCATAAAGGAGGGTAAGTTTCTCTTCAAATATAAATTCAAAGTGCACTATACTTAAGCGATAACGAGCTGGAGTGGCAGCCTTTCCGCCGGCCACTTCGCTTTGGATGGGAAAAGTCACAAGTGGCCACGGTTCTGAAGAGCCGGCCAGCAGCTTCCAGCAGCCCAAACACGTATGTGCTGGTCAGTCGGCGGGCCAGGGCCGTCGGGGTGAGCAGCACATTCCAACGGCTGCCCCCTCCCTTCTTCCCACCCCTCCTTTTCCGCCGCCTGCCCCCAGTTCCCGTGCGGGCACAGCTCAGCTTCTCTGACAGCTGCGGCCGGCCGAGAGGTTTCCAGCCGCCGCAGTCGCGGGGGCTTTCCGAGTCGCTCCCATTTCTCCTTCCCCCTACAGTTGCACGGACTCAGATGTGGAGCGCAGCGGGGGGAGGGGGCAGGCGAAGGGAGCGGCGGACACCGGGAGAAGGACCCGCAAGAGCTTTCTCAACCTCCCCCCGACCCCTCTGGCTTTCCCTTTCTATCAAGTCCTTTCCCCACCAAGCCCCGTCACATGGCAGCAGCAGCTCGGCCGCCTGTGCGCCGCGCTGCGGAGGGAGGGGGCTGAGTTGGCTGGCGGTGGGTGATGAAACCTCTGAAGTGGATTACCGCAGAGGGAAAGGGTGGGAGGGAAGGAGGGGGAGGACAGGGCTGGGCCAGGGGGTGGGGGCTGGGGACCCCGGCCTCACCTGCTGCGGCCCGTTCTCCAGCCGGCTCCGGGCAGCCGGGAGCAGGACTGGCGCTGGGGGATTGGGGGAGGGGAGGGAACTCTTGCGCCTATGGAAAGCCGAGGTTAATTGTGGAGTTATCCCCGGAGGGAGTCAGTTTCGGGGCTTAGGTCTTGGGCCCATCCCAAAACCTGAGACTAAGTCTCCATCAAACTCAGCTAGGCGGGTTTTGTCCCACACCCCCTGAGCAGCGAATACGTGTGCGCACACACGTACACACATGCATACATACGCACATATACACACAGACACACGCACACACACCCAGAGAGACACATTCCCAGCTACTAACTTTTCATCACGATCCCGAAGCTGGAGCACAATACAGCGGAAATCGCTTTAGGGTCTCTGTTAGGGAGGGGTGGCGGGGGGGGGCTGGGAGGGGAGTGGAGAGGAGACAATCGCCAGGATTGCAGACCAATGCCTTTTCCCCACCTCAAGACTGGAAAAGGCTGCCCTAAGAATGGGGTCCGGTAAGCGCAATAGCAGTGTTTCTAGACGTTCTGGGCGCCTCATGAGGCGCGTATTTGTAGAAGATTCAAGTGGCCATTGGACTCTGGGCCCGCCCTCGAGGAAGGCCTGGGCTACCAAGCTCTTCTTGACTGCTTCGGCTGCCCTCATTTCCACACTGGGAGCGTGCAAAAAGAAAGTGCCCGGGGGGGGGGGCAGAGACAGCTTTCCACCTGGCTCCCCCGTCCAAGCCCAGACTACGGCCTGGGTTCAATAAAAGAACTCACGTGGTACCCTCCCCCCCCCACCGGGTCTGGCACCGTCCCCGTCCGGTGAGGACGGTTTCCCGCCCAAAGCTATGCAATTAGTAAAACCAGAGGGGGGTGGGGGGGGTGCTTAAACAGAATAATATTTCTAGTTCCTCTGCCTTGGAACATTCTCTTCATACCACCCCCACCACTGTCACCCCCACCCCCAAGTCAAACTGACAGTGACCAGAATTAGTGTGCTCGGGGCTGCGCTGTTTCACAGGAACCCGGCTGAAATTTGCCCTAGGTTATGCTGTAGGTTTTATGAATTGATGACTGGGAGCGGGGAAACTTTCCCAAAGGTACAGACCACTACCCTCCTCCCCCTAATAGGCTATAGAGGTGGAAAGGACCTTTGAAAAATAAACCGCCTAGCCTAAAGCCTTCCTTTCACAGATAAGGAAACTGAGCCCCAGATAGGTGAAGGGGCTTGCCCAAGGTCACGCAGGTGATAAAAGGCAAAGCTACCACGCTAACGCAGGTCTTTCTACTACAAATCCAGCACTGAGCTATACCGGGCTGCCTCTCCTCTCCTCGAATCAGTAGCACTGAATCCCAGAAAGGACTGGAGCTGTCTCCCGGTTTCCGCTCCTGCCTCTGGGCCCTAACGCCCGAGCCTCAGGTAAATTCAAAACAGCTGTGATTTTTTCCTATTAGCAATGTATATGAGTATATATAGATGGGTAAGGATATGTGTATAGATGTGAACGCTTGCAGTACCCAGGTCTGCAAGTTCTTCCTAATATTAGCTTCCCTTAGCGTGTAGTAGTTAGGAACAAGCTCCGCCCCCTGACCATATAGTCAAACGGGGATGGGGCTGGGATTGGTCGGGGCTTGGGGGTAACACCTGCTCGACTCCTTCATTCAAGTGACACCAGAGCTTCCAGGGATATTTGAAGCACCATCCTTTCCATTCCTGGGCACTTCCACAGCGCTGGCAACGGCACGGGTCACATGCTCCCCGAAGAGAGGTTACCGAGCTCCCTTCCCGAGCGCTCTGTGGAGTCAGAAAGGAGGAGGAGGAAAAAGGAGAAGAAGGAGGAAGAGTGGAAAGAGGAGGAGAATACTCCAAGGAAGAGGAAGAGAACACAAAGAGTAAAGGTTCTCAGAGCGGGAGCTTTGTAACTGCAACCATGTGTGTGGAGCGGCTCAGCCAATTAGTGACCCTGGCGTTTGTGCTGGCCAGCTTCGATCCCGTGCTGGGGACTGAAGCCACTAACCCACCCGAAGGGACGCAGGACAGAGCCTCTCCGCAGAAAGGGCGGCTCTCCCTGCAAAATACAGGTAGGTTCCTTGGGACAACGGTGACTGTAAAAAAGCTGGGTTTTGCAGTCAGTCACCACCACCTCCAAAACCCTCCACCCCTATAATGCAATGGGTGCACAAGTCTTTCACTCTCACTCCCCCTTTCTCCCTGCCCCAAAGAGAACATGACTTATCTGGCAGCGTCGGGCATGCAAACTCTCCCGGGCCACCGCCGGATGGCCCCGCACGCTGCTCGCGGGCTCCCTACTTTTCAGATGCAAAGAAATGCTTAAGCTCCAGTAGCCCTGAATCCTCACGTGTTGCCGTGGCAATGAGCTGCCTGGGTTGGGGTGGGCTGCTTGCTGCTGTTCCCTTATTTGAAAGCTTTAAGGAAGCGAACACAGTGCAGCAGCATCGGTTCCCCTCTTGGCCTCAGTTTCCTCGTTTGTTTGGGGAAAAAAGGGCGGGGGGCGGGGGGGGGGCGTTGGGGATGGGTCTCTGAGATTCTTTCTACCTAGCAGTCCTATGACCCTGGGCGGACGATCGGTGTGGAGGAGCGTGGCTCCCAATCCTAGACTGCGGGCATCAGGCGTAAGCTGCGCTCGGGGAAGTTGGCTCGTGCCCCCACTTTGCTTAAACTCAGCCCAGCGCCTTGGCTTCCAACTGGAAAGATGCTGTGTGAGCGAGCAGCTAACTTAGTTCTCTCTCCTGAGCCGGGGACCTAGGGTTCTTACCGGCTTTTGGTTCAGACAGAGCTCAAAGAGTTGGGTATGGGGTGGGGGAGGCGGGATCGGATCCAAAACCCGCCGTTGCCTTCTTCTCTGGCGCAGAACGATGAGCGGAAAAAAAAAAAAAAATGATGCAACTGGCCGGGAACTGGGCTGCTGCTGCCGCTGCGCCTCAAACCCTCGTGGGCGAGCTGCCTGGAAGAGCCCAAGCGTGCAATGCACGGGGCTGGACCTTTTCCCAGAGCGAAAGAAAAGCTTCCTGCAGCTTCTTCGCTCTTCCCACCCCCGGACGCCTTTTTTTTTCCCCTTTAACCATATAAATGCTGCAGCAACACTAGTTCAAACCCCATGCAAGCTGGGATGCATGAGTGCCCATTAGGACTGGCCAAACGTGAAACCCGGCAGCGTGAAACATTCTCTGCACCCTGAGACTGCAGTGGGGGAGGGGACTTTCTAGGGAGGGGGGAGGAGAGGTCTTTACCACCCATATGCCAGCACAGGCTTCATCTGGGTTTCCAGCCCCACATCTCCAAATCCAAGATCTTATCCAAACCTTGACAAAGAGTCAGTCACCACCCCAACCACTAGTCCCTCTAGGGCTGCTTGTAAAGCTTTCTCAGAGAATAGCACAATATAGTTCCTAATATAGCATTAGAGGCAACCAAGTGTGGTGGGGAAAGCACTGCCTGGAGCCAGAGGGAGGGACTGGGTTCTTTCCTACTGTCTGTGTGACCTTGGACAAGCTCCTTAACCTCTCTGGAACTGTAAAATGAAAGAGATAGACGGCTATCTCTAAGGTCTTTTCTAGCACTGACCTTCTAAGGTCACTTTCAGTTTTCAATCCTGTCTCCCCAGGTGCTGCCTGAGTTAATGGCTACCCTGGAGCTGGTTGTCACAGCTCCTCTGTGAGCCTGTCTTGATTTCATATTCAATTCATCACCCATCTAAATGAAGTTAAGAGGGAACAGGGGTGGAGTGTCCCATAGAACCTAGAGCTGAAAGGGGCATTAGAGATAGTCTGATGCTCACATTTTACAGATTTAGGAAACTGTGGCATGGAGATAGGGTAAATTATTTGCCCAAGGTCATACAGTCAGGGCTTAGCAAGCCTAACATTCAAACCCAGCTCCCCTGACTCCAAATTCATTGCTCTTTCTACTACCTAATTTATACAGAGCATTTAAGCCTGTCTCTTCTTTCTTACTCCTTTCAGAAGAAAAGAAAATGTTGCCCTATGGGGAGGAGGAGGGGGAGAGAAGGAAAAAGAGACAGAGCTGGATCATACTGCTGGGGTTTGTGGAAAATTAAATGAAATCTTGTCGCATTCTCAAGTTCTAATTAAAGGAGGCTCTAACTGAGTAGATCATTCAGCTTCTGGGCATCATTCACTTAGCCCTGAAGGCTGCCCCCAAGTTGACTCTCTTCCTAAGCTCCTTGCAAACCACAGCTCCACCAGCTTGGTATTTTTAATGCAGATGGTTTTCGAGGCACTGCCTTAATAGGAATTTTGTTTTAATTTTTAGGTGTTGAATCATAAAGCTGAATTGAAACTCCATTTGGCAGAGATCCTTTTCTGCCAGGCAGGAAATGGATGGGATTTAATAGGCAGCAGCTCCTACAGATCTAAATAGAGACAAATGTTTTATTTAACTGATACCACCAAAATGGTGAAGTATTGCAAATGTAAAAGGGAGGTAAGGAGGCTATTAAAAAAAATTTACTTGCCTGTTAGGCTTAATAAACAGGGTTTAAAATAACATCTGCTCTAAAGCAAAATATTACCTCTAAGGGGTTCAGTGAAAATGGTAGGATGAAATGGAACGGCAGGACACTATCCTTTTTGGATACTATTTTTGTAATGTAGGTTTGGTCTGAATTCTGCAAATAACTGGGGTTTGTTGTTTTTTTTTTTTTTACTACTTCTCAATGCCCTATGCTCTGTGCGCCCTAAAACGGTCATTAGGAAATTTTGTTTCTATTCACGTTTCTTTGGTCCCCCAGTCTAATTAGCTGTATGGATTTGTCTTGAAATCTTTGTTTTAGCGGAAATTCAGCATTGTTTGGTAAATGCTGGCGACGTGGGATGTGGAGTATTTGAGTGCTTTGAAAACAACTCTTGTGAGATTCGAGGTTTGCATGATATTTGCATGACCTTCCTGCACAACGCTGGAAAATTTGATGCCCAGGTAATGAAAAATCTAATGTCATTGGACCTGTGATGTGAATAGGCTTTGTGAAATGCTCATAGGAAAAACATTTTTTAAAAAATCTCCTCGGCATTTTAAAAAAATCTAATCTGGCAGATTTCATAGAAGTTCAAAAGGAGAAGTTAATACTGATGTCCCCCCCCCCCAGTGCTCAGTTGGGCTATTATGGGGGGGGTCACAGAATTGACTCTGTGTTAAACCCTTCTGAGCTTTTATGCTACATCTGCATAAGCAAAGTGAAATAAAGAGAGTTGAGCAATCATCTGGGAATCTGAGCAATGTAGACCAAGGTCAGGACAAAGAGTGCACACCCAAGAAGGCAGCAAAGGTGGGGTGAGACAGCACCCCAACTTGCTACCTCTCACTCCTGCTCCCACACTAATGCAAACACACAGTTTAGGGCTGGATTAGTCCAACACAGTATTTTAGAAGCTTCTATAGGCTGATGTGGAAGGTTAGGTGAAGCTGAGAAGTCACAGAAACAATTCCCCTCTTAATAGCATCATAGGACTTTAGACTTGGGGGAAGAAAACCTAGAACATCATCTAGTTCATGCCCATCTCCTCCTCCAGATGAGCAAACTGAGGCAGGAGAAAGGGAAGGGACTTGACTAAGAATTGCCAGAGCCAGAATTGGAACCCAGATCTTCTAACTGCAAACACTGAGCTCTTTCCACCATACTTCATTGCCCCCAGTGGGACAATCTGAATGGTTCTCGCCTTCCTCCGATCTCCACCGTCACCAAAGAATCATCATGATCCTTCAGTTCTCCACTTGAACTAGATCTAATCTAGGTGGAATACACTCCAGCTAGCTTCATGTTAAGCAAAATTAAAACAGCCTCACTACATCGGGCATGGCAGCCAAACAGCAAAAAATCTTTGGCTCAAACACTGACAATAAAAATATATTTTCAGAAAGCATATGACATTAGGCTCCTTGCCTTCATTTTCTCCCCAGCCCATTTTATACATCATTGAAGCATCCAGTTTTTAAATCTTGTAAACCTACTCTCCCATTTCACTGGGGAGAGATGAGAACATTTGGATGGGCCAGCTACTTTTGGCTTGACCTTGCAGTTTATACTGTAGTTTTAGAAAATCCCCAGCCATCAGCTGGTGTCATTCTGTAGGTAATGCATACAAAGCAGTCTTGTCTCTCGTCTCAAATGCTTTCCCCTTGATTTTGGCATTGAGAAGTAACTATGGCATCACCTACCCTTCCTTAGAAGTAAGCAAAAGGAGACTGGCAGGCTAGAGGCTGAGGCAGTGGTTGGGAGATGCCAGAGGTGGCAGAAAGAGATGGCACAAGAACTACAGTAGAAGAGATGTGCTCTGAAGCTCTGCTTCTCCATCCCTCCTCCCTGTGGACAAAGATCCGTTGGCATTCCCTGGAATTAGGAAACCTGGTAGAGTGGATCTCTACTAAAATCCTGGTTTGATGCCTCACTGAGTATAGAGTTGGCCCCAGGCTGTAAAAGGCTTTGCCAGTGAAGCCAACGCTCTAGCCACCCCTACCAGGCTAGGAGGACTTTGCATGCAGACCTGGTGATAAGGACATATATCTGTCCTTATAGGAGCAACTTAGCAAAACTGAAGAAGTCCTTGACCAGTGGCTTAATTGCCATGTGATAAATTTTTTTCCCAGAAAGTTCCCCAAACACCGTGGTGTGGAGGGATCATATGGTACTGGATCCAGAAGGGATCTTTGAGCTCATTTAGTTGCACTGTCTTCTTTTACAGATGAGAAAACAAACCAAGAGAAGGTGAAGCAAGCACCTTGTCCAATATCCAACATCACATAGCCAGTAATGGCAGATGTGGGTCTCAGACCCAAGTCTTTTGACTCCAAATGGAGTGTTCTTTCCACTAGATGAGCTTTCTCCATAAACGGATGGAACAGCAGTATATATGCTCAATTGTTATACTTCACAGATCCCTAAAACATTGAAATAATGGGGTAAAGGAACAAAACCGAGGAGAGAGGCAGCTACCTGGAATATTTTTAAATTGCTATGATAAGAGTCTTATTTCAGAACTCATATATGCACATACACAATTCTCAGCATTAGAGATTTCAGTTTTCAGATATGCCCATTACTCTGTACAATGATAGATGTTTTTTCCTCGAGGAAGGTGGGGAGAATGGTGGCAAGGTGGGGAGAGGAAAAGGAGAGCAAAGAGCTAAGGAGAAAGGAAAGGGAGCTACATAGCTTTTTGTTGTTGTTGTTGTTCTTCCAAATATATTCAAATATTACAATTGCTTCCAAGGGAGAGCCAAAGAAATGTGCTGAATAGCCACTGAATTCCAGCCCTAACCTACTCCAATGTGTCTCCTTGTGTCTATCTTAAAAACCATGAGGTAAAGTCATCTGCAACAGCTTATTGCTATTGTAATGGAAAGTGTGAGGACTTGGGCATACTTTGATGCGTAAATCTGATCTGCCATTGGAGGTTGATAAAGGAGCTAAGTGCTCCAAGCTCCCCTCTGAAGCCCCTAACAGCTGTCTCCTTTCTAGGATAAGAAGAGACCAATAGGGCTGCCAGGAAAGAGAACTGCAGGCCAGATGTGTGCCTAGCTGGCTGGCTTGGCCACTCCAAGGCAGGGAGAGTGAGGAGGAGGGGGAATGTCTATGTCATGAGGGTAGCTCACATCTCCAGATGCTGCCAGGCAAGTGTCAGAGAGACAATGATCCTAATATCTTAAAGGAGTAGGGATCATTTTCTAATGAAAAGGAATTTTCCTCCGGAAGATGTGGGAGGAAAGTTCATGGGGATTTAGGGAATCGGGATCCTAGGGATGAGGGATCATAGGATTTAGAGCCGGAAGAGACCTCAGAGGTCATCCAATTCAACCCCCTCATTTTACAGAGGAAGAATCTGAGACTCAAAAGGGGGAAATGGCTTGTCCTTGGTCACAGAGGCAAGAAGACAAGACGCCAGAAGTCAGACCTGGGTCCTCTGATGTCGGAGCCAGTGCTCTTTCCACTCCAGCTGGTTTTCTAGCAGGAATGAGAAAAGCCAATGTTAATACCTCTCCCTGAGATTGCAAATAGAATCAGAAGAAAAAAAGAGTAAGGCGATTCATTGCAGCTGACTGAGGAATCCATGTACAATCTGAGCACATGCAAAAGGAACCTTCCACTAGGGGAAAAAAAAAAAAAACAGAGCATTGTTAACCCTGAGGGAGGATTGGGGTGGGGAAAGAGCAGGTATAAACCCAACCAGTGATAATTCTGAGGAAAGCTACAGCTGCCTAAAGTCAGCTGACTGTAACTGAGGCTTCCATCAGAGAGAGCATCTGTAATAGGTAGAAAGAAAAAGAGAGACTTTAAGAAGGCAGAGAGAGCCTTGCTATTTCTCAAGGTCTAGCTGACCATACCTCCTGACTAATGAGTGACAACAGCTCACTTTTTTTTTAACAGCACTTTGAGGTTTACAATGTGTTTTTTCTCTCAACAACCCTGGGAGAGCAATTCTGTTTTTTGAGGTAAGGGGGTTAAGTGACTTTGCCCAGGGTCACATAGCTAGTAAGTGTCTGGGGCTGGATTTGAACTAGGGTCCTCCTGACCACAGGGCCAATGCTGTACCACCTAGCGGCCCCTAGAGAAAGAACCCAAAGCTCAGAGAGGTTTCAGTTGTTTGCCCGAGGTCACACAGCTAATAATTGTCAAAGCCAGAATTTGAGCCCAGATCTCCAAAGTTCTTGATTCCAATTCAGTTACTTTTTCCACTACAACATTTCACTTATCAAGATATTCTAAAGTGGAACTATTACAGCTGTCAGCCCCGAATTGGTCCAGGAAGAACGAACACAAAACATGAACATATTGAATCATAGGCTGTTAGAGTTGTGAGGGACTTAGAAATTGTCTAGTTCAACTGCTTTATTTATAGGGAAAGAAACAGAGGCTTGCCCAAGGTTATACAGCAGGAAGCAGTGGAGGAATGTGGAAAGAACACAGGCTTTGGAATCTAAGGACCCAAGTTCAAATCTTGACTCTGGCACCTTGGCAAATCACTCAATCTCTCTGTGCCTTAGTTTCCTTATCTGTAAAATGAGAGAGTTGGAGTCAGTGGCTTCTAGAGTCATAAGGGTCATTTCCAGTTCTTGTCCTATGAATGATAGATCGGGTACAAGAACCTGTATCTTCCAATGTGCCCTTTTTTTCCCTCTTTTCCTCCCATCTTTATTTGCTCAGGGTAAGTCCTTCATCAAAGATGCCCTGAAGTGCAAAGCCCATGGCCTGAGGCACAAGTTCAGCTGCATCAGCCGGAAGTGCCCTGCCATCAAGGAGATGGTATTCCAGTTACAGCGGGAATGCTACCTGAAACACAACCTCTGCTCCGCTGCCAAAGAGAACATACAAGTGATGGTGGAGATGATTCATTTCAAAGATCTGCTAGTGCACGAGTGAGTTCTGGATGCTTAGTCACAAGTCAGCAGCAAAAGGAATTTCCCCTGCTTTGGTCTGTTTGGGAAAGATGTTGGGGGAATCAGGGGTGCCCTCTTTTTGAGTGATTACTTTTCCTGAAAAATGGAAAGGATTACAATTTTCTACCCAAAAGCCCTGGTGGCCCCTCCAGGCCTTCCCTCCCTCCCATTAGCATTTGTGTTGGTGGTAAAAGGTAAAAGGTGTCTGCCACCTTTTCAAAAACGGAGAAGCATCAGAGATGGGAAAGCTTTGCTAAAACAAATATTAGGCCAGTTCTTAAGGAGACCTTAGGAATATTTTTCACCTTGGTGTCATTTCAAGAAGAGAGTAGTTCTCTAGTTATTCTAATGAAGTCCTATAGGCCCCTGCTAGGTTAAATCAACAAAACAGCTTTAACCCAGCCCCATCATAACATCAGAGGCTTCAGAGACTAAAGGGACCTTAGAGATAATTTAGGCTAAGCCCCCATCTTACAGAGGAGACAACTGAGGCCCAGAGGAAAAATGATTTGTCCAAGGTCAAATGCCCAATAGGAATTCAGGCCAAGGTCAACTTCCCTTTAGGTAAACTATTCCAACTTCTACAAGACGTTAGTAGACTCTGAGAAGGTCTAAGACAACCATGTAGTATCTCAACCAACAGTAAGATACCTTTATGAAATAAGGGATGTGAGCCTTATTATGTAATGGTCACCCTAAAAAGAGATGTGACTTGTCATAAGTCACACTAGAGAACTCATTCCCAAAGTCCCACACACAAGATCACTCTTCCTTATCCGCATTCACCCAGACTCTCCCATAGTTTTTTTTTTTTTAACACATCAGAAACTAAGGGGGAAAATGTTTTTTAAATTCTGAAGTACAATGAGATATTGGTGTGTAATTATTCTGAAAAGTAAAGAGTGATCAATAGGTTCAGGAGGATGGAGGCCAAGTGGGTCAAATAACAGCAGGCCTTTATGTCATAATTTAACTCAATTCAGTAAATATTTATTTAATCCCTAGTATGTTTTTGAAAAAAAATTGTATTAATAGATGCTTTAAATTTACAAAGCCTTTTATTCACACACTGGATCTCTTTGATCCTCACAATAACTCTGTGAAATGGGTAATGCAGACTTTTTTGTCCCCATTTGGCACAGGAGTAAACTTTGACTATGAGTTGTCCAGGGCCATATATGACAGGCAGTTACTTGTAGTTATGAAAGATCTCTGGATTCCAAATCCAACATTCTTTCTACTATGCCCCAGAAGCCTCTCCAACGATTTCTAGTGAGTTGAGGGCCCTGAAATTTGCCGTTTGCAATTCAAACCCACCAAATCTCAGTATCATTTGGTGACTTGAGATGTCTAGATTTATAGCAGGACTTGTTTCCACTAACATCACATGGGACTCCAGAATCCACACTATATAAAAGGGGGTGTGAGGACCCTGCCAGTTTGTCCTGAAGAGGGGACTGCCCACCTTGAGACATGTGACAGACTGCCCTTGTGTCCAATGAAAATGCCTAGTAGTACCAGGAAATCCCACAAACTCAGTAAAAAAAATTGTTGAACATTTCAATACCCTTGCCCCAAAGGATGATAGTTTTTCCATCTTCAGAGGATTCCAAGTGCTTCATGATTATTCAGCCTCACACCATCCCAAGATGACAAAGGTTGTGCTTCCCACTTTCAGTTAGGGAAACTGAGGCACTCAGAAATATGAGTTGACTTACTAGAAACGAAACTCAAATCTTGCTCCCAGGTCCTTTCCTTGGCCTGTGATGGTAGCTCACTTATAGGTAGAAAGGAGAGGGTCCCCTAGCAAATAAGTAAGCCATTTCAGAGTTCTTAAACTTGGCCTTTCCTTAATCTCTCACACAAGCCTATGATAGGTGAAAGGGGAGTTGTGAAATTCTCTCCTTTCTAGGCACCTCTGGGAATGAGAGCTTGTCCCTCAAAACTCTTAAATAAGACAAGAGGCAAACAAGCTTCATGGCCAAAAAGCACTCACCAAGTTCATTCACGTGCATGACCAACAGACATCCTTTAGGAGACAAAAATGTTGGCTCCGTGCACTGAAAATGGGAAGGTTACCTTAGACACTTCTAATATTCCTCCATAGCCTGGAGAAATCTGGTCTTTCTGGAGTGGTCTCTTTTACAATTAGAAGTTTTTGAATAGGTGTTGCTAAATTTCTGATTGGGACTGCTGTCAGTTTTTTAAAGAGGAATGGTGGAGCCCTCCCTGGAAGTGCTGAGTTTTCTAGTGGGACCTGGAATGTGGGTCAGGGCTTGACCCATTTTGAAGAATTGGGAATCTCCTTAGGGATCCTACCACAGCCCTCACCCCCATGTCATTGGGGTTATTTCTGGGCTCCTGGGGACAAGCTGCACAGATCCCTTAGTGTTCAGGGACAGTGAGAGGTTCTAATAAGAAGTGAAACAACCCCAATGGGAAAACCCAGCCTTCAGCAGGATCTCCTCATGACAATAATTCATTTCTTTGACTGCTTTACAGTTGACAAAACCCTTTCCTCACAACCCTGTGGTACTTAGTACAGTTTTATCATCCCCATTTGATAGCTGAGGAAACTGAGGCTCAGGGAAATTAAGTGCCAAGCATCGCACAACTTTGTAAGTGTCGGAACCAGAGGTTTGAACACAGCTCCCCTTATCCATGTGGCTTGGGTCTCCTAGCCACAACCAGAGTGACTGGTGCAAAAAGATTTCTCTCCTCCATGTGGAGATCAGGGAAACAGTTGCTCTCAGAATATCTACCAGCCCACTTCCCTACCTCAATCTTCCTTCATTCGGAAAGCATTCTGTAAATAAGTAAACCTTCTTTTCTTGACTGTTGAATGAAAAAAATAAAAATTTTAAAAAATTCAATCTGGAACAGAACTTGGATCATGGAGCGGTACAGACTTGAGTTCAAGTTGAGGCTGTGGTACCTGCTAGCTGTGGGACCCTGTGAAAATCATTTCACCTCTTTGTGCCTCAGTTTCCTCATTTGTCAGATGAGGATAATAATCCCTGTGCTACCCACTTTACCAGGTTCTTTCAAGGAAAGAAAGTGCTCTAGGAATGTGAGGATCTTTGCTCTTTTGTCTCCTCTCACACCACCACCACCACACACACACACACCCCCAAAAACCCAAAAACTTTCCTGGTGTCATCAGACACTCCTCCAAGTTTGAGCCACCCTGGCTGTCCAGCTGAGGCACTGTTGCTGTTTCGCTGGCAACAATCAGTGGTTGGGAGCTGCCAGGCACGTCTCCTTCCAAGTATTTTTTTTAAATCCTTTAGCCTGCTGACACCCAGTTAGGGGAGCTGGGCTTTGTCATTAGGCACAGGCTGAGGCTGCAGTATGAGACGGCACCGTGCCAACCGAAGACGCAACTTAGATTAACTGTGTTCTGCACACTCTGACAGTATGCAGCTCTCTTGTCAGGCAGAGAGAGTTCCAAGCTGAGTGAATAGCATTGACTAGCTCAAGCTCCTAGAGCCTTCTCCTTGGGCTGCCAAGAACTGAGTAGAATGCCCCCTGCTGAAGGAGAATAGAGACCAACCAACCAACCTGGATGGTGGACAGCTGACCCCACCCCTCTCTTTGGAGAAAGAGATAGTAAAACGGAGAAAATAGAGTTACAAGAATAACTCCCAAGTTTACAAAGCACTCTCCCTCACAACAATCATAAAAGGTAGGTAGTATATTATTACTAGTAGTAGTAGTATTGTTGTTATTATTACCATTATCCCAAATTTTATTAATTGGGAAGCTAAGACTTAGGTAAGCATAATGACCTATCCAACGCCGTGCAGCTTCTGCTTCGAAAGTATCCAAGTTGGGATTTAAACTCAGGTCTCCTAACTCCAAGCCATCATTCTTTCCACTACATTGTTCTGCCTCTTAAGAGTTCAATATGGAGACTGGATGAGTTAAGCAGCCCCAGGTGGGTCCCGGACTGCATCTCATTTCTCTGCTTCCCATAGTGGTTTCATTAACAGTTAGGGGCTCATTAAATGCTGTTTGGTGCTCTTTCTGTTGAAATACTGCACCACATCAGACTAATCAAAGGATTTAGAATTCAGAGGGATCTTCTCATTTTACAGAAGAGTAAACTGAAGACTAGAGGGAGAAATTGAATTATCCAAGGTCACGAGAGAGGGATTCAAACCCAGAACTTCTAATCTCAAATCCAGTGCTGTTTTCTACACCACTGTGGGTCAGTCCCTGGTTCTCAGTACCAGCAGCAAAGTATTCCTAGGAAGTCTGGAGTCTCCTCATCTGCTATGAAAGCTTGCAAAAAGCACTTCATTCCTTAGGGCTTTGGTTTTTCCCTCTAGGAGAATTTATCCAACTGCAGCTTGGGGGTGCTTAAGGACTGATGGATTTAAATGCTAGTTACTTCATTTGCAGATCTCAAAGTGTGGCATGCATGATAAACAAAAAGTCAAGTCTACCCACTGCTTAACGTTTTTTATGTTAAAAAATATATATTATATATATGATATATCCTTAACTATGATCCAAGACAGCAGAACAGATCCTCATTGCTTCTTCTTGGGATTCAGAGCTGGATGAGACCTTAGAAACCACCCAGTCCCACTTTCTTGAGATAGATAAGTGGTGCAATAAATAGAGCACTTTTTTGGCCCGGAGTCAGGATGACCTGAATTCATATCTGTCCTCAGACAGCTTACTAGCTGTATGACCCTGGGCAAGTCATTTAACCTCTCTGCCTCAGTTTTCTCTATGGTAAAATGGGGATAATAACAGTACCTACTCCCAGAGTTGTTCTGAGGATCAAAAGAATTGATATTTGTTTTAAAAAATGTTTAGCACAATGCCTGGCACACAGTAGATGCTATATAAATGCCTTCCCTTCTTTATTATAGATGCAGCTGAGGCTCAGAGAAGGGAAGCAGACTTGCCCAAGATCACACAGCCAGTAAAACAGCAGAGTCAACCAGAATAAAGCCTTTTCTGGTCTTTCTCTGTTAAGTAATAAAGAACCAAGATTCAAACCCAATGCACTACAGCACACCATGGGGAGTTTCATTCCTTCTCTTAAGTGATCACACATTCCTAAGTGAACTTTATGGCCCAGATAATTGTTCAGAGTGGCAATATTTGCACACTAGGGGCCCTGTGAGGCAAGAACTGCTGAACCAGATGGCTTGGCACATTCCAGATAGCAATGGCCTTCTAGGCTATTGTAGTCCCTGTGGGCTAAGAAAACCTCAAAAAGCAAACACTATAAGTTGAGCTAGAGACTCCCCTGTCCCAGACTGGCCTTGGAACGTGGGAAAAAGGCACCGTGCCTGGTTCTCGGTGGTTCACACAGCTCTGCCATTCCTTCTCTGGCACTGTTTTCCTAACGACATGACCCAAGGCAGGTGGAGTGGCCAGAGAGCCGAATGTTTCTGCTTGAGGACACTTAGCCCTCATTCAGGGCAGCTCAGTGCAGGCATTCTGCACGTCTCCAGTCTCGGGAATTAAATTGAACAACTACTGGCATTTCTTAAGCCCTTTTAATCATTGAGGAGGCTTACTTTGCTCCCCACAACCCTGTGAGGTAAGGAGAATGGGCATTCCCATTCCCCTTTCATAAATGGAGGGTCAGAGAAGCTGTGACTTGCCCACAGTGATGTCAGCGCTGGGATATAGACCCCAATGTCTCAATGTCAAATATTGTGTTCCTTCTATAACTCCCATGGAATAACCATTCCTCCTTCCCTTCATCCTGGGAAGGCACCAGGCCAAATTGATTTACCCAAGGTTACCCTGGTGGTAAGTCCCCATGTCAGAACATAAAACTTTATGGGTTCAGGGCTAAGTAAACCACATATATATGTGTCTGGCTAACACATTTATTTAGCACTTTATTTAGGGGCTTCCAATGGGGTCCTCCAAGCCAGCATTCCTCCCCCAAGCCATATGATGCAACCTTACATTCAGACATGGGCAAATCAGTTACCTTCTCTGGACTTAGGTCTCCCTTAAAATCAGAGGTTAAATCAAATAGTCTCTAAATCCCGCCATCTTTAAAATGGGGTGAGTGACATTTATAACACCTACTTTACAAGGAAAACACGTTGTAAGCTATAAATCACTGTATAAAAGTGATTATTATTTTATTAGCTTTTCCAACCAACTCATGAGCAGGTAATATTATCTCCATTTCACAAATGAAGCAACTTTTGTCTCTACTACTCATTGATTTTATTTTTTAAAGCATTTATAACTCTTTAAGGCTTGCAAAATACTTTACATATATTATGTCATTTGATCCTCACAACAACCCTATGAGGTAGGTGCTATTATTACCATCTCTATTTTACAGACAAGGAAACTGAGGCTGAGAAAGGTTAAGTGAGTTGGTCAGGGTCACTTAGCTAGGAAGTATCTGAAACAGGATTTGAACTCGAGTTTTGCAGTCTCCCAAGTCCTTCGGTCTATCCACTGAGCCACCTAAATGCTTACATTTAATGCTTATTGTATTCAGTCTTGTATTGTTACTCAGAGGCTGTGGGGTTTCATGAAGAGAATGATAGTATTGGGGTCATGAAGACCAGGGTTCAAGTCTAACAATAACACTAGCTTTCAACCACAGGCAAATCATTCATCTTTCTGAGATTTATTTTCCCAGTCTATAAAGTGGGAAAGGTTATACCTGTAATATCTGCCATTCACAAGGTTGTTGTGAATCTTAAATAATTGATGTAAAGCAACTTTGAAATATTGTATAAATATCAGTTATTGCATTGGTCATATATACACACGGACATATACACATACGCATGCATGTATGTGTATTGGAAGGGAGAAAAGGAATGTATGGGTATATATTTGTATATATATACATTCCTTTTCTCCCTTCCAATACATATATGTGTATGTGTATGGATGTATACATACATGCACACATGTCTGTGTGCATACATGTATCGATAAATAAGACCAAGTACTGGATATATGTATTGTGTGTATATGTACACACACACACACACACACACACCCCTTTTCTTCCTTCCAATTAATTATTGGAGGTCACAGCCCATGTCTCATACCTCTTCACATCTCCAGCATTTAGCATAATGCCTTTGCACCTTGGATCATAGATTTAGAGTAGGCCATGAAGGCCAAACCCTTCATTTTATAGATGAAAAAACCGAGATCCAAAGAGGTTAATTACTTGTCCAAGGAAAGATATTAGGTATTTACTGAATGCATGGTTTTGCTCATGAAGATACATTCTAGTCCAGTTAGCTTGAGTATAGGGTCATTCTCCTAAAACAATTCTATCTGAAACCCCTTAAAAAAGTTCAGGCAAAAGCTGAGACATAAATGTATTGAATCCTTTCTGATTCTGGAATTGTTCTTTTGTAACCCATGCAATATTGGGGGGGAGGGGGGAGGGTGGACGAGCCCCCTTATGCTCAAGCTTCCTAAGCACTGACCATTGCCTTGTTTCATTCTCAGTGTCTCTTTTCTTCTCTCTTTCTCTCTTGCCATCCGCACCCCGGGCATCCGACCACTTCTTTGTACCTGCAATTCCAGACCCTATGTAGACCTGGTGAACATGTTGCTGACGTGTGGGGAAGAGGTGAAGGAGGCCATCACCCGAAGTGTGCAGGCTCAGTGTGAACAGAACTGGGGAAGCCTTTGTTCCATCTTGAGCTTCTGCACCTCAGCTGCTCAGGGGGAACCAGCAGCCACTCCTGATAGACAGCTGGAGACCGAGGGATCCAAGGCCATCCGGGCTCATCCAGGGGATCTAGGCTACCACCTCCCAGAATCAAGTGGGAGGGACGCTTCCAGAGTTGCCAAGGGGGAAAAAGGTAGCAAGACTCACCCGATTGCCCATATCCGTGGCAAAGCTGGGGCCCACGGAGCCCAGGGATCCCAGGGAAGTAATGAGTGGGAGGATGAACGGGCTGAGTATTCAGATATCCGGAGGTGAAAAGATACACAAATGGTCATGAAATCTTTCCTCCATACCGTCCATTTTCTTATCTATGGACATTCCAAAACATTTACCATTAAAGAGGGGGGATGTCACATGCAGGGTATTAAGGGAATCGTGGACTTCATCAAAGGTGTATAAATAAGTGGAAAGGGCAGCTGAGATGGAAAGTCCAAGAGCAATCAGCTCTTGGTTGTACCTGGTGAATTCGGCACTTACACATATTCAAGTGAGTGCTCCTAGCGTTGTCCTCATTTTAACTTTTGTCTTCTTTTGAGCAATAGGGCCAAGGGGGTGTCAGTCTGATGGTTTGCTCTGTTGTGGGGATGGGGAGGGGAAATGTGAACTGGGGAGGGGGGAGGGTCAGGGTTGGGCATTTCCACCTGGGCCCAGCCATCTCACCAACACTCGGCTCAGCTCTGTGGCTTTTGGTGCTGACTTCCCAAAGAGTGGTTGAGTTCCCTGGGTATTCAGATTCAGATACAGCTGTGAATGTCAAATCATCATTGGGGATTCAGGGAAGAAGAAGGGCTGAGAGGAAGAGGAGAGTCAGCTGTGATATTTGGTGCCAAGCTGAAATTCGGTTTCTTGCCCAGGTCCTTGATGCAGAGAACTCTGGGTTTTGTTCTGAGCCGTTGCTCCCTGTATGGGTGAAACTGCCTGATTAAGTGGCCCCCATGTGTATCTTAACCACTGCTTTACTTCACGATTTGGCTTTTTATTTATCCAATGACATCTACTTGTCTGTTGTCTAAATAAATGGCTTTTAAACAAGGCTACTGGGTCATTAAAACCAGGGGATCATAGGAGTCAGCTGGAAAAGATCTTGGAAATCATCTATTTCTGTCATCTAGATAAATGGCGTTTAGACAAGACAACTAGGTCATTTAAAAAAACATAGGTTGTGGAACTAGGTGGGACCTTTAAAAGGATCTAGTCCAACCATTTCATTTTACAGATCAGGAAACTAAGACCCAGGAAAGTTAAGTGAATTGCTCAAGGTCATACAAGAAGTCAATTACAGAGCTGTGATTCTAACCTATGTCTTTTGACTCCAAATCTAGGGCTCTGTCCACCACCATCCCTCCCTGTTAGTTTTTCTTTCTTTATCCCCCAAGTCTGACCGACATTTATTTAAGCACCTACTACAATCCAAAGCACTGTGCTATAACTCCATGTATACGATGGAAACATACACTGTTTTGTGTTCATTTTTCAAAAGTGATCTTTAAACCATTGGTAGAATTCAGGCAAAAGCCCTATAAGTGAATGTATAACTAATGTAGACTTCTAATCTACATGTAGACCCTTAGGAAAGGACCTTACAATGAGGAAAGAAGCTCGCGCACTTACGTACATGGCATCTGGCAGAACCTCCCTAAGAATTGTGTTTCTCCCTATTATAAGATCGCTAAGGAACAGTCTACACTGTTTGTTCCCTGGAGCTGTGTCTAAAACAGGAGTCTGTACTGCCAAAATCCAAAAAGAGGGAAAACAAAAGGTGTGCTCTTGGCTAGCCTAGATGGGGGTGTGCCTGCTTTTTTGGGAAGACTGTCCGCTTTGAGGAGAGACTGATATTAAATTTCCAAGGAAGAGGAGGCAAAGGTTTGCAGTAAGGAAGCAAGTCAACGTGAAGAACGGAAGGAAACACTGTCTCTATTAATGGATTTCTGATTCAAATTCCTCTCTTCCTAGCTCTTTGCCCTCTACACCATCAGATAAAAATTAATCCCTTCTTGCCTCTACTGCATACTACCCCAGGGTACTACAGCAGCTCAAGGGGCTCCTGGTGTAGCTTCTTGCTTCCCCTAGGAAGAGGGTCCAAAATATTTCTGTCCAAGGTGTGCACATCAGTACATTGGGTCTCCCTTAGAAGAATCTTTAGGAGAGGGCAGAAAAGGAGAAGCCAAAGCTCAGGTTCCTTCTGCATCTAACTGTCTCTGCTGCCAAAGGCTAGTCTTAAGGGTCCCAACACCCTCTACCCCCACCTTTATCTTTGTCATCTCACCCCTTGCATGGTCCACGGCTCCACCAGGTTGGAGGGAAGATTCACCAAGACTAGCTTTTGCCTAATAAAACCACATTCTGCTGCCAGGAAAACCAAGGACCGATTACTGAGCTCCTCATGCCACTGCCTTAATTGGGGAGAAATAAGCCCATCTGGGGTTCCCCCATTATTTTGCAGGCCACCTGAGCAGAATAATTTTGGTTGCCAGAGATATAGCCATGACTCTTGCATTGATCAGCTGGCTCCCAGTTTCCTGGGGTTTGTCTTGTCTGCGGCATGACTTTTTCTGTTTCCTCGGTGTAAAAACATTGTGTTCATTCATCTACTGGTGTCTCATGTCATTGCTGAAATTGTAAATACTTAATCTTTGTATTTATTATTTTCCTGTCTTCATTTCAGATATAAATTGTTTACTCTGGAAATTTAATTACACGCCTCGACCTGTGTTGTGTGTGTGTGTATGTGTGTGATGCCACTGGTTTGTTTCTCTTATCGAAAGTCAAATAAAGTGAATTCCTTGCTGGCCTACAACATTACTGGGAGCAAAACATACTGTTTATTAGTTCAGGTTTTCTTTCCTCTCCCCACTGAATACAGAATGTTGCTTGCTAATGTTGTACTCTGGAAATTTGACAACTGGAAATTTAAGGAAAGCAGAAGACTCTCCATGTGGTCCTATCATACTCCTTTAATAAGTATTTTGAATTAAATTCAGGAAAGCATTTCTCTAGTCCCTACTATTCCTGAGGACTTGTGCTAGGCTCAGGAATGGATAAAGTATGAACTTTCTTATGAACCTTCCTTAGGGAAGGCTGTTGGATTTCCAAATAAAGATGAGATGTTTACTTTAAGCTTTGCATCTTAAGGAAAGGATCTGAACACCTCTCCTTGGTATGAATAGCTCTCTTATTCTGGAATGAGAAGCCTGAGTATAGGGAAGTGCTGACACCCAAAACTAAGTCAACAGAAAACGCCAGTCCACATCACTGTCATACTTTGACAACAGAAAATAAAAGAGAGAGGGGAGGGAAAAAGAACATTCAAAATCCAACCAAATAAAGTAACTTTCTGCTAGAGAATAATGCTTATTTGGACCATTCCTTTAAGAGAAACAACCCAGTTTGATCTGGGACCTGGCACTAAGTAAGCTGGGTAAGTTGTGATGCAGATTTTTGTTGTGGACTGAGGTCTTGAGATCTGTACATTTTCCCATTGCGTTTTTTATTTCAACACTAATAAACATTTTGAATAGATGATTTCTCTTGCAGCTCAATTCTATAATCACTGTTTGAGCTCCCTCCCCAATCTGTGCCAGAGCCCCATGTTTGGTTAAACTAGAGATGCAGAGAAAAGAGATTAAGACCCTGCTTTCTGAGTGTTAATGATCTTCCCAAGGGTAGACACACAGTGAGTGTGAGGTATGAACCTCTTAAGTCTCCTAGACACTTACACAAAGAAGGACCTTTGTCACTAAACATTTATTAAACTCCTACTACACGCCAGGAAACCATCTAGTCCAGGGATCCTTGGGGTCCATTAAACTGAAATATACACATATTTAGATATACATATACATATACACACATGTAAATACAAATATATGCATATATATATCAATGACTATATTTGATTATAATTGGTTTCCTTATTAATCCTATGTATTTTACTTAATGCATTTAAAAACATTTTTGAGAAGGGGTATATAGATCTCTACACTTCCAAGGCTTCCATGACACACAAAAAATTAAAGAACTACTGATTCTAGTTTAACACTGTTCTATTACAGGCAAGGAAACTAAAAACCAGAGAGTTGAAACAATTTGCCCATGATCCCTTGGCAAAGTCAGCATTGGAACTGAGGTCTTTTAACCTCAGGGCAGGTAGGTGACTCAAGAGGATAGAGCTTCAGGCCCTGGGGACAGGAGGACCTACATTCGAACCTGGCTTCAGACACTTACTAGCTGTGTGACCCTGGGCAAATTCCTTAACCCTGTTTGCCTCAGTTTCCTCATCTGTAAAATGAGCTGGAGAAGTAAATGGCAAACCACTCAGTATATTTGCCAAGAAAACCCCAAATGGAGTCAAAAACAACTGAAACAACTGAACAACAACTTCTAACCTCAGATGCGATGTGCTTTTTAATACACTACACTAAAATACCTCCCAGGGTTTCATTTTGTTTTTCAATGAAGGTTTTCGTTTTGTTTTCCCATACCAATTCAAAGAATAATGACCAGGTGAATTTTAATTCCTTCTTTGGTGTCACTTAAGAGATCTCATTTCTCCGTGATTCTCCCAAGAAGGCATTAGCCACACAGATTCCCAAGAAGTTACTAGCCACATGGCCTCTCAATGTAGGCAAGACAATAATTCCCTCCCTCTCCATTTGATTCACCTTGACAAAGAAGAGGATAAAACCTCAGCTGCTGTGTACCACTCTAATTGCTATTTACATTCATTCTGAGTCAATCAGAGCCCAAACAATGGCCAAGTGGCGTTTGGCCTGGGACCTATTGTTGGCCAAGCAATGGGAGCCAGAATTAGGCTACAGCATAATACCAATCATGACTTGTACTAGAAGTGGCACAGAAAATATCATCAAAAAATACAGTTTCATAAAAGGAAGTGGGCTGTTCATATAACCAGAGGAATAACAAATGGGCTGCACTGGTATCCACAAGATATTACAAGAACTAAAATAAAGCCTTCAGTACATCAGGTAGGTCCTCTATGGAAAATTTATGGAAACTCACAGACAACAGTTACCAAGTGTAAGAAAGTAGGTAAGGGTTTTAATTGGCGCTGGTGGATGGTGTACCCGTACTTTTGATATCACAGGTGTGAGCACTTAAGTATCCACTCTATGCAAGGCCCTATGCCATGTGCAGGCAATATATGAGCACGAGATAAGACATAGGTCATTCCCTCAAGGAGCTTTCTGACTCTGCCCCCATAACAGTTCATGTAGTTTTGCATGTTGCTGTTCAGTCATTTTCAATTGTGTCCGATTTTTTGTGACCCCATTTGGGGTTTTCTTGGCAAAGATAATGGAGTGACTTGCCATTTCCTTCTCCAGCTCATTTTGCAGATGAGGAAACTGAGGCAAACAAGGTTAAGTGACTTGCCCAGAGTCACACAGCTAGTAAGTGTCTGAGGCTGGATTTGAACTCAGGAAGATGAGTCTTCCTGACTCCAGGCCCAGCACTCTATCTACTATACCACCTACCTGTTCCATAGCTTTGTATAGAGCCAGGTTTATTTGTGAAGAAGAAACAGGTGGGCAGCTAGGTGGCACAGTGGATAGAGCACCGGCCCTGGAGTCAGTAGGACCTGAG